AAAAAAAGGAGGCAAAAATTAGAAGATGTAAAGCATATTGTTGAATGTTTGAGTAATGTTACAAGTCTAAAAAAGAGTTACAGGAATTGATCAAGTTAGTGTTCTAGAGCTGGTTATGCTATCTTTGAATCTTATATGTATACAGTAAAACAACTAAAAGAGAGGAGCCCCTCCAACTAGTCTCGATGGGGCCTAAGTTACTTTTGGTTTGCCCAGCCTCAGAATACTCCTGGGACGGCATTTCCTCATGGTCTGGTTTTCCAAACTGGACCCCCTGTTTTTCCTAAGTATATGGTTCATTATTTCTTAAATAATTATGCCTTCTCTTTGTTTGATTGGTCCATCTCTAGTCCTGATTATGACTATCGTCTCTATTTCAAGGCTCACCCTCATAAATTTGCTTGGGATGACTCAGCCATACCTCCAAACCTTCCGATTTACAGATGATCTTCAACCGGATGGATCACCCCTATATATATATATATATATATCTTCTAATTTCAAAACTTTCCAAAGACATAATTATTGTTTGTTCAAAGCTCTCGGTCCTGTAACCTTCCATAGGTCTCAAAATACTCACACATTCTACTTGCAATCCTGTGTATGAGCTCCCTATGCAATTCTTTGCTGCAATGATTCATCTCAATTAAAGTGGAAAATAATCTTACTCACAGTTACTGTACACAATGCCAGGTCTCCAATTGCTTGTCCGTGAGCGCTCAGCAGCCTCATTTCTTTTTGCTGAAGTGCCCATCTTATATTTTACTTCCAGTTAACTTAACTCAGCCTTGGTATACAGACCCCAGCTTATTCTCCCTCCAGACAACAAATACAGCCCTTCCTCACGCTTGCCCTAGAAGTTTTATTACTGTTTTAATTTTAGGGATCGCTGCCCTTATAACTATCAGGAACAGTGGCTGCCTTGGCTATAGCTCTTGTTCAGCAAGTTCATACAGCTTCCCACATTAACAAATTAACTCTCGATTTCTCCACTGCCTTGTTTGAACAGGAACAAATTGATCAACAACTAGTGAAAGAGTCAACGCCTTGGAAGAAGCTGTGTTATATTTAGGTCAAGAAATTCAAAACATTAAAGTCAGGCTGACTACTGCTTGCCATTCCGATTACAAATGGATCTGTGTTACCCCTCTCCCTTATAACCACACTCAAATCACTTGGGAACAAATTCAAACTCACCTTTGGGGCGTGTGGAATCATTCTCTTACTATGAACATACAATAACTTCATGCCCAAATTATGGCTGTATCCAGAGCCCATTTAGATTCTAGTTCACCCAGTGACGTTACAGATAGTATAGTCAAATATTTATTCTCAACCTTTACAACTTCCACCTATAATCTCCATACTTTACCTTATTCCATGGAGAGTCTTCTCTTACTAATTTTTATCATTCTTCTTTGCTTCCCAGTCTTTGCTCGACACCTAAGGACCACAATCACATCAGTGGAAGCAGACATTCACTTCTACAAATTATAAAACAAAAAGGAGAGATGTGGCGGAAGCCATGCAGCCAACATAGGTAGAGCCTAAAGAGCTGCCTCTCATGTCTAAGCAAGGCTTGGGTGAGAAGAGCTGTATGCAAGGCCACAGCTACTAGCTCAGGCTTTCGACTGCGTTTATTGTGCTGGTTTGTGCTATTTTTGTTTTCAATCTCTCTGCCATGGGCTTTACTGTCGCTACGGTACCGCGTAAGGGTAAAATAACCCCCAGCCTGACTGTAACTTTTACAATAAAATCAATTAATAATGCTAAGAGAATGCAGATCTCTAAAGCGGTGGCAAACGGGAATTATTTTGTGAGACTCACCCTACCTGCCTGGAAAATATCAATAAAGAATGCTGAAGTCCCTTTCAGGGTCACATGTACACAATAACATTTAGGTCAGTCATTAAGCTGCTCATGAGACCACATTCCTTTCCCATGTGGGCAATAGGCTCACCCTCTTAGCTGTAAATTACCCCAGAGATAATATAGATATTCCATTTTAATATATATTAACCGAGTCTTCACTTAACCAAATAAGATTTCTATCTAGACCTTTGTTACCGCAATCTGCTGCCACCTCGGCCTGGGGTTGAAGTTATCAAGCTTGCTGGAAACCCCTCATCCAAAAGGCCCTACACGGTAATCAAGATCTAAGAAGAAAATGTACCAGACAAATGGACTCCCTTGCCCTGAAGACTATGACTGATTACACCTGATCAAACAACAGTACATCATATTTTATGATTGTTGTTCCTGTATGTATTTTGAATACCTTATTTTGTAGAGTAAAATCTTTTACCTCCCCCTCACCTCTCCTACTCCTATAAACATCCCTCAATAAATATGTATGTCTCTTAGCCACAGACGCTGCAGTGTTGAGCTTGCTCTGACAGTAGTCGGCTGAGAACATGCTAAAGAGCATAGAGGTCTCTGCCTGATTTTTTCTTGCCTGCATCTTCTCCATCGAGTCAGCCCACCCCAGCTGGAGCAGGGCTCCGGCAACAGCGTGACCGGATCCTGAGAAGGGTGCTCATCTTTGCGCCTCCCTTAGATGTACATTGGAATTTAATAGTGTTAAGATATCATTTCTCGGGCTGGCAGATGGCACAGTGAATGGGGCGTTGGACTCCCACATGGCCAACCACAGTCCCAGACCTGGTGGCTTGCTTTCTCACTTTCCCTCTCTCTCTGTCTGTCTTTCTCTGGTCAAATTAAAAATAAATAGATGCTGGCAGGTGATGTGGTGGTTAAGGGCATTGGACTCCCACATGGCCGACCGCAGTTTTGAGTCCCAGACCTGGTGGCTTGCTTTCTCTCTCTCTCTCACTGGTCGAAGTAAAATGAAGTTCAGTAAAATAAATTTAAAAGAAAAAAAAATCTCAGGACCAGTAGTTAGCGTAATGGCTATGTCGCTGAACTCCCATGTAGTTGACCATGGTTCGAGTCCTGGACCCGGTGGCTT